GCACCCGTTTGTCACTTCCTTAGATTATTGGTCATCTTGGTTTTCGAATGGTTCCTCAACTATTTCATCATATTGAGAGAGAATTAAAACTATACAAAGATATTTGGCAAAATGAGGTATATCTCCATTGATTTGCCGGTTGTATGTCTAAAGTCAAGGTCAAAACCATTAAAAACAAAATAAACTGAAATTAGTATAAAAAAGGCTTTTGCACTGATAGAATTATAAATTATAGGGAACTTTGAGGTAAATAGGTACCGACATAATCAGCAGACATCCTTATAAAACGTCGGAATGATTCTATCAGACGAGAATTAACATTTAAGTTTAAATATGACTGAGTCATTACACTAGGGGCAATATCATTCTTCCAATTCAATTCTTTTTTATTTGAAAAAAAGTATCATTTATATTGTGAGGTGGTAAATAATCGTACCGTCTGCAAAAATGTGTCGATCAATTGTGTTAAAACATTTGTTAAAAGGGGTTCGTGTTGCTCTAAGTTTTGAGTGTTGATCTTTGTGCTTTTGATTTTCCAATGTCTGTATTGTTATACCGAGAACAGTCTTGTCTATCACTTTTCATGAAAAACGTGATTCAATTCAGTTTTCAAAATTCACATCCGGTCAAATTTTAGGGTTAGAACAATTTACATAACCGACGGTTTTTGATGACCACTTGATATAGCTTATCGAAGTAATGAATAGGTGTAATACGACGGGTCTTACATTTGATGCATCCTGAGCACCTGAGATCACTCTAGATTTTTTTTTGGTTCCTGTTACTCAGTTTTGTTTTCTTTGTACTTTGCTTTATATACTGTTATTTGTCGTTTTGCCGTTTTTCGTTATTTGACATGGCGTTGTCAGTTTGACATTGACTTATGAGTTTAAAAATATCTCTTTGGTATCTTCTGCCTCTCTTTTATTTTAATCCAAAACACTAAAAGTTAATTTTGTGAATTCCAGAATAATTGAATTCAATGAACATTATTTTTTTGTTTATTTGTTTCTTCATTGGTTAAATGAAATGTGACTTTATTAATCATATTAATAGCGTATAAACATTTAAATAAATAAAACTAAATCACTTATGTCTCACTACATTAGATTAAATCATGGCCTAATTTTCAATCCGGTAGACTCATGTACTTTGCCATTTCCATAAAAAACAAGAATGATATGGTTATTGTTTTCAATTATTTAACATGTAATTAAAATCTGAGAGTGAGCTCCGACATTTTTTCTCCCTTGGAAAATATGGAATAGGTAATGGTAACGGGGAATGAGGCAAAGAGACAACGACTCGACAACAGAGCAGAAAACAGCCCAAGGCCACCAATGGGTCTTCAACGCAGCGTCAAAATCCCGCACCCGTGGGCGTGATTCAGCTAGCCCCCAAACAATAATGTATTCTAGTTCAGCAAAATTGACTCAAAACTAAACACCGAAACAAACAGATGAGCTAAAATTTAAAAAAAAACACAAAACTAACAAATGCTAGAGGTTCCTGACATTGGACAGGCGCAAATATGCAGCGGGGCTAAACATGTTACACGTCCACTTTGTGTTTTTGTTAGATTTATTTCTATCCATCTGATAAGTTAAGCATAACCCGTAACATGCCAACATCTGGTTTTAGTATGTATTTTTGGCTTCTTACTAAAATGCTAGTATAAGAAATGTTTTTTCTCTACTTTTTAAATAATACTGTAATGTATGTAATAAAACGTTAGATGTACTTACTATAAGTGTGATGAGATGATTAAAGCGCCCAATTTCCCTTGACACCCTATATGTACATGTACGTTTTTGCAATACATTTTAACGACAGTTGTAGGTATTTCAATAGACATCAATTTCGCCCCTCCGTATGACAGACTTGTTTCTTTATCATGTTTATGTGATGAGTCTAAATGTCTGGCTATTTAATTGATTAATTTAAAAACATCTACCATTAAATTGATTACAATAATTTTGCGTTTAACAACCAAGAATTTTCTATATTTAATTCCTAAATGTATCCAAGGAAACTTACTTTGAATTAATGTTATATCAACAGCAATAACTGCCTACTCTTAAATTTAACTACACGACACGAGGAACCAATGGTTCGTTCCCTATTGCTTTTTCCATTTTTGAACGTTCCTTTGGATTCGTCTTCCGGAATGTTTATATACCAAGTCGTTCGCTATGCATATGTTTGTAGTGGCGTTTTATATTTCAATGAACATGATCTAGGTTACACTGGTAAGTGATTTCGTCATCACAGATTACTTGCAATAAAACTGTTATTAAAAACTTTCGTAAATACCACTACATGGTGTTGAGGTTTGACTACGTTTAAAAAAATCTTACTAATAGAGGTGAAAGATACCAAAGGGACATTCAAATTCATAAGTCGAAAATAAACTGACAACGTCATGGCTAATAAAGAAAAAGACACACAGACAAATGACAGTTCATACAACATAACATAGCAAACTAGAGACTGAGCAACACGAACCCCACTTAAATCTTGGGGTGATATCAGGTGCTCCAGAAGCTAAAATACTGCTCATGCAAACGTATCCCTCCTGTGACTAAACTAATTCTTAAATCTTGCCAATTTACCACTGATATACGATCCTTACATATTGTTTTCGTCGGTACTATCATTGCCAAATTTTGATAATCAATGAAAACGTTATTAAATATGTATTCCTATACAGATGCAAATGTTTTATAAAAAAAATCATTTTTAAACTTGAATAAATAACAGAACTAACACATATCAAAGACCAAGGACGTACTTTTTAACAAGAGAAGACAAAGTCTATTCATTTTGTATCATTTAATCCGTATATCTAATTAATGTCTTGCAGAGAAAATATACTACATACTGCGCTTGAAGTCCTCGAGGACAAGAACTGTTCTAACCTAGAACAGATTCGAACGGTTCTACCCTAGAACAGATTCAAACAGTTGTATCCCGAATCATTTATACGGTAAAACTGTTCTTAACTTATTTCAAACAGAATAGCACATCCTAAATTTTACGGTGATTTTGTAAACCGAGCCCGGAAGTTTAGATACGATCCGGGTAAACTTATCAATCCTTTAAATAAACTTATTCTGAAAGGTTACCTATTCAACACTGTAATTAAATCTTTGAATTTTGTTTTTATTGGTATACATATTTTGTTATCAGTAAATTAAAACCATACTAAATATTACACATATGTACTTTGACGGTACTACAATTTGTCGATACCTATAGTTTGGCATTGTACAAGGTCATGTTTTTACTGTTAAAGACGTCTTTACACTAAATACATTGGTTGTTAGATGTCTTCTGATTGATATTTTAGTCTTAGATACATGATTTTTTTCATTAGTTGTTATTGACTTTGAACTAGCTCTCAGTAACTGCGAGTACTCTCAGATCTGTACTTAGTGTCTTTTTGTTTTTGGGATGTATAAGTACCCGTCCACGTCCACTCTGTGGTTAGTTGGATGTATTTCTATTTGCTGTTACACCACTGTCTCAGGTTAGGAGGAGGGTTGAGCGCTCACAAACATATTTAACCCCGCCACATTCTTTATGTGCCAGTCCCAAGTCAGGAGCCTGTAGTTCAGTGGAAGCGTTGGTTCATGTCTGTCATATTTGTTTTTCGTAAATTGTTTTGTTATAAATTAGGCCGTTAGTTTTCTCAATTGAATGTTTTCATGTCGGGACCTTTTATATCCGACCATACGGTATGGGTTTTTCTAATTGTTGAAGGCCATACGGTTGCCTATAATTGCTAATATTTGAACTTTGGTGGATAGTTGTCTCATTGGCAATCATACACCGGGGTTGTAAGTTCGACCTCTGTAAACAGTCAGGAATGTTAAGATTTCCGAGCATCCATGCATTCCGAGTACCTAAACTTAGTAAACACATAAATTTGAATTAAATGTATTGGTTGTTGATTATTAACTCTCATTAACTTTGCACAAAATTAACAAATTCAAACAAATTTAATTATGAATAAATATTGAAGACATCTGGTATTCTTGTTTATACCTGGGTGAACTCACATACCTTATTTTTACAATCATAAAACACAACATTGAATAAATGCAAAATTGCAAGAGATACCCATATACCATATTTATTAAGTAACTAGAATGTTTAACCCAAAAGTACAAACAAGAACACAGTTTTAGACTTTGTAATGATATATATGACAGGAAGACATGTAACTTCATGTTATTATGAAAGAAAAAAAAAAGAATTACCGAACTCCAAGGAAAATTCAAAACGGAAAGTCCCTTATCAAGCTAAAAGCTCCACACCTCAAACGAATGAAATTCGTTCTCAACGGTGACAAATATTGAGAATTTTGTTTTGAAAACATATAAGACGCAATAGCATCACAACTTAATATAAAGGAAATATTGTAAATGCTATCTAAGTCTTGTTACTAACCACTGGGTTTGTTCTTACATGAGCATTACGTGAAACATTGTATGTTCACCCTTCCGGGGTACTTGAGATCATCCTTGGTTTTTGGTAGAGCTCGTGTTGATCAGTCTCCCGTTTTGTATATTGTGTTTTGTATTTAAGAAATAATTCCTTCATGTCATGCTCTATGCTCATTTTAACATGGGTAGGCATTATATTTGTCGATATTTTACACTGAGCGTTCCGTTTATTTCGATTCTAATAGGATAAAAACGGCGTTTTTATATGTCAAAGCGTACGAAAATACCTTAGGAATGTTTGGTCATTCATGCTTCCTCCCCATGAATCATGTACATTTCATTCTCATATTTAATTTTACTGTTCGGTGTGAGCCAAGGCTCCGTGTTGAAGACCTATACTGGTTTACTTTTATAAATTTTGACTTGGATGGAGATTTGTCTCATTGGCACTCATATCACATCTTCTTATATCTATTAATAAATTTAAAAACTAGTAGCAGGGTAAATATGTGATGTTGTAATAACAATATATATAAAATTTATATAAGCAGCTAAAATGTATATATTTTATTATGATAAAAAAGAAAATAACAAGAATGTTAACAGTAAGTTTGTGCGCATGTGTCAAACATATTTTGTGCTAATTAGAACACGGCTTTGTTTACAAAACGTAATAAGGACGTCATATTAGAATCTGCTGTTTGTTACTTGATGGTTTGTCGTTTTTGTTTTGCCATGGCATTGTCAGTCTATTTTCGGTGGACAATTTTCACTATCCCTTTTTTATCATTCGTCTCTCTTTTTTATTCTTCAACAATAATAATGCAAGAATGATTTTATTTAAAGCATAATGCATTCTAAATAAAGTAAACTGATTCCGTCTGGTCAGACAAAGCAGATGATGTTACCAATTTTCCTTAACAACATAGTGATTTACTGAAAAAAAAAAACGAACAGAAACAATGTTGAATCAGTGTTTCAGAATTATAAATAATATATAATTAGTTATGAAAGGTAATATATAAACCTTTCAACATAACGAAACTATTTCATATTATTTTGAAATTCACAAGGAAAGTATTAAGTTTGTTCTTGTTCAAATACATATAACGTTATATAGGTGTTAAATACAGATACTTTCAAATTAAAAGACTTTCCCAGCGTAAAATACTTGAAATTGCAAAAGGTTCTCGAAACAGCCGAAGGGAATATTACCAACTCTGTCCAACTGAGCAATCCCAACAATGTATATCGTTTCTGGATCAAAATTTTAATTTTACTTACAATACTTACTTATTCGCAAAATTAATGGTATAGCCCCACTAACTGGGCTCAATGAAATGAATCCTTTGCTCAGGTAATATTTCAAAGTGGCACATTTACATTCAAAATTTAATGAAACTACCATTCAAGAATTAATTAAAAGATTAGAGCGAAAATAAAACTTTTACAGATAATATAGAAAACTATTAAATTGAATGCTGATTCTGAAATCTACAGGCATTTCTATGTGCATTATTTGAATATTAATCAATCTTAATTATAAATTTGTTTTCTTTTAATCAGTTTGCCGTTGAAGAAACTTCCATGAACTGGTTGATTTTACAGAATTTTAATTGAATGATCCTTGTGTGATCTGGTATTAAGTTTTTTTCTTAACCAACAAAACAACCAACAAACATATACGGTCACCATGGCTTAAACAGAACATTGAAGTTCATTAATTTTCATTCAACTTATTGTCTATTTTTTTTAAACCACAATACATAAAATCAGCAGGGCATAAATGGACACATTGTTTTCTTTTTTCTATTAAGTATCTGATGCCTTCTTTATGGTGTTTTTCTTGCAAAACACAATATCGGCCAATTCTTTGATTTTTGCCTAACCTCTTCATAATTAAAAGGTTAATACAAACGTTGAATATTAACACAAGCACCATAGGAAAAATCAAGCTAGAATAACCCATCTAGCAAGAAGTGTGTGTTCTGTCATCAATAACTTAGATGTCTTTGGGAATGAAAAAATAATAGCAAACCAAATACATAATGAATTGTTAATGAGTCTCCCATGTCTGTTAAATTTATAATGTTAAACAAATCTGCATATTTTATAAGTTAAATTTCAAACTGTTTCAACTGTTTCAATACACAAACAAGAGTAATAAAACAGTTTTTTTTAGAAAGTGTGATCCTTTTAGATATTTCGAGTGACTTGTATATTGTATATAAATATTGAAACATCAATAAAAATTCCTATGTGTTCTGTGCTAAAATATTAAAGATGTTAAACTGCATCCACATTTGTTTAAAAAACTTTATGAACAGGTTTATTTTGATGTGTTACAGCTTAGAATGGTGTTTCCATCACAAAATTTATCAGGTGTTGTGTTAATAATGTCCAACTTGGTAGATTCATTGGTACTGGTATTCACTATTTTATTCATCAAAAGACAATTTCCTAAAATAAAACAGAAATTATGTTCATCTCACTCAAAATATCATGAATATTTCCAACAGTAGTTCAAAATTGAAGCATTTTTGGAAAAGGGGTGTAAAATGAGTACGTAGAGTGTGTGCAAGTCATACCTATGAGTGAAAGGCAGAAATTATTCTTTCGTGAAGGTTAAATTGAACGGAATTAAATGTTGGAATGAAATACGATCCATTATTTTTTAGATTATAATACTAAAAAAAAACAGAAACAGTGTCCATTTAAAATAAGAATCCTGAATATATTCACAACCTACCTTTTTAAACTCTGCATAATATATAACTTTGAAATTGAAGCTGTTTGCAATAAAACCGTGGTTACTCCGTCATGTTCGCGGAATGCACACATAGACTGTTTTATAAAAAGGAAGCGTAATTAATTTCTTCCTCAAAATTTATAGATTTTTGAAAAGAGGATAGACATCAAATGTGACAACGAAAATAGTCCTTACCTTTTAGGGTAATCACGCTCCACATATTTGTTTCCTCTGACTAGAACTATTATACATACTGGTGTCCGTTATACTATACAACATAAATGTTGGCAACCATAATCTTTTTCGCTTCTAACGGGAAGCTGCAAACATATATTATAGATTAAAATGACACATATGTACTAAATACTTACATCTTCATTTTACCGATATAATTCTATATGTATGCACAAACCTACATATAAAAATTTACCGACACATCAGACTTTATAAATGACCAGACACCCGAAGTTGTTTAAAACGGTACATGTATCATGACTTTAAATATTTAATAAAAGTAAATGACATATTTAAAAAACCATTCTATTTTAAGAATTTATTCATTGAAACTATTTTCAAAATTGAATTACTTATACTTAACTTGAATATATTACCTATTTATTAAAAAAAAATAATATAATTCTTTTTTAAGTTCCTTACACATAAGTAAACGTTAATCCGGTTCACTTCAAAATTTCTTTTGACCATACCATTAAAATATTATTGAATATGGCAAGTGGATATGCGGACTTATCTGCATTTAGAGAAGAATATACATGATATATGACGACAAAATTGCTGATTAAAAAAAAACTAATAAAAATTTGTTTTAAGCTAATTAAAGGGTTATAATTTTACTGTACTGTTTAAACGAAAGTCATTATTTTACAAACGTAGTAAAACAAGCCTCTTCGTACCTTGAGAAAAATTGAGAATGGAAACGCAGAGTATGTCATCTACAAAAAACCCGACCAAAGAGGAGAACACAACTTAACGCCTACACCAATTGTATCCATAACATTCTTTCTTGTACTGTCTCCTCTGCTTCTAGCCAAGAAATCCCATCATCTTTCGTTTTACTTTCCACAGTTCTTCTCCATTATTTGTATCGATAACATCACTGCAACTAAAATTGATTCCGAATTAGCTTTACTTTATAGCAATAGTTTGCAGAAAAAAAAAAACCTCACAGGCTGTACCGCTGTGACCTTTCTAAAGAAAAAACTATTAAATAATTTGTTATACATGTTAATGGTAGCAAAGGGATATTCAAACTCATGATAAGTCGAAAACAAACTGACAAGTGTAAGTGCTGCTCGCAAAATGATGTTGAAGATAAGTCATGTTTTCAATAAATTATTCATTATATAACAGTTTATATGGCTATTGTATACATCACTGTCAACATATTGGTACTATAAACGAAAAGGGTTAAGGGTAAGTTTGACGGCGGATGATAAAACCAAACCCAAAAGTTTTCTCAAGCACATTTTGATTTAGAGCAAAACTCTTTTCTCTCGACGGATTTAAACAAATATTCATTTATAATGAATCCTCCTAAAACAAATGGGTACTCCAAAAACGCATGTAGGAACTGGGATATTGAGGATATATTCTGAATTATACTAAATTCTAGGATGATCCAGGATATTACTGAAAACAGAAGGTACATGTAGCATTATTATTGATTCTACTGGATTTTTTTTACATTACTCCTTATTTTCACAAATGTACTTGACATGTGAAAAAAAAATATAATATGATGCCATTTTCAATACAAAATTGCAAACAAAATATTGTAAGATACATAAACGTTCATGAAATTCTTGTATTTATTATGATAATAATAATATACAATGACTGTCTTTAAATGAGAACAATGTGTGGTTTTGTTGACTTTATAAAGACTGATATTTATTGATGCCAACGTTAAAATGAGTAAAGATCATCGATTGGAAAGTACAATAATTTCTTGTTTATTCATATGTGTCTGATACAAACGGTCATGCTTATAAGATTTTCTGAAATATGCCATGACACTCACAAACAAGGACGGGTTCCTACGGATTATTTGTAAATGCCCTTTTTTGATTTCATTTGAACTTCATAAAGTTTTTTCCGAAAAGCTAGTTTTTCTCTGTATTGTAAGAAATATGTTTTTCGACAGATATAGCCTCTCTTTTCGAACTTGCGCTAAAACAATTGTTTCCAATTAGAAGGTTCCTTGGTTATAAGGGCTTTCAGTGTCAGTCGTTGTATATAGCTGGCAGTTTGCACACCTTTTGAAAGACTCTTAGCGTTCATGATCTTTACTTTTTATTTAAGTTTTGAGCATTATCATAGCTCTTTACCATGATTGAACTTTCGTTCTAAAATGCTGTACGTAATCTCAAAATAATGGATTTCGTGACACCGTCCGATTCTGCTATCATATATCTATTCTAAATTATAAAATAAACATTTAAAGATGTTCGCTTCTATGATTCCAAATAACAATATTTTTAAAAGACTGTTATAAATTGAAAGAATATGAATAAAGGAATTTAAAAAGCAGAACAAAATGAAGGGTGTATGCGCTTGTTTTCAAGATATAAGCCTTTGAAAATTTGTTGGGAAGTGATTCCCTCTAGATTTTTCATTAAATTAATAAAATAAAAAACAAAAGGAGCTAACATCCTTAACTGCTGGTAAAGCATGCCTCTGAAAAATTCATTATTACTTTGAAGTTTAAACCTTGTTTGTATAATTTCGTAATCCATAAAATGACAACCTGCAAAACAAAGCTTTGGGATATCATATGGTCCCCGAAAGTATACATTTAAAAAAATAAAGACAAAACTGATTTTTCTCTATCACAAAAATATTGATTTTTAATGATTTATCATGTTAATCTGTAACCTGCTTGTCATAAACTTCGAGGCTAAAATATATCTTTAAGGGCGACCCTTATCAACCCCGGCGATTTATTTTGTTTAAATTTCTCTTGAATGAGTAGGATAGGTCCTAGCCACAATCTTAAACTCATTAAAACATTTTAAAACTGTGAAATAAGTTACAGTATTAGTATCTGATAACAATGTTTGGAGAAAAGTATATAGAATGATGAAAATGTCATTTTCAGTGATATTAACATGATTGTGTTCCAATTATTTCTCGTATGACATTATCCCGTTTGCTCTGGTCAGTACGAAGCGTAGTAATACATGATCGATATTACAATGAATATATAACAATAAAAAGAAATTTTGCATGTTTCTTTTTATTTGAGAAATATTAATTGACAGTACGTTGATTCGATTGCATCGAAATATTAATTAATTCTGTAAAGAATTGTTAGATCGACCCTTTTTTATACGAACTATCTTTCACGGATGATGGTTGATATCATTGACTGGCATATAAACGTGTAAAGTCATATGGTAACAGTATCATACATGGTAAGCATACGACAATGGTTAACACAAAATCAATATTAATTATCGATACTTGGGATAAATTGTAACATTTTATGCAATAAAATTATTTCAGAACTTTTGATAATTATTTCGAAAGTTAGAAATATCAGAAGAAATGAAAAAACTAGGTCGCCATTTTAAATGGAGAATCCCATTAGAACACCGTTTTGTAGAAAAATGAGTTGTTTTATACATGTCATAATCAGTTAGTTTTCTAGAGAATTTGCATTTGACATATATAATGTGTATTTATGTCTTTCAGTTTGATATTCATCTCTGGGTTTTTGCTTGGTCATTTTTTCTTAACACAACAGCTAAGAGGAAGCAAATAATGAATCTCAATTAGTTATATAAGCACAGAATATGATATCATTTTTTTTCGATAAAAAACTACCTCAATATACGTGAAAAAAAAATCGTCATTGAAAATAGTTCTTATATTCAACTATAAGACATGGGCAGGATTAGGTAGTTTTATTCAATTTCTTTAATTTTAGAAGGCACATGCGCAGTGTTTTCTTTCAGTACTTAATATATATAAATATCAACCACTCAACATTGACGTCTTAAAAATAAATTTCGTGGGTAATTTAAAATATTACGTGTGTTTAAGTGTTACCTGATATACATTTAAAAGTTATTTGTCGATTTCTGCTATTTTAAAATCATATATATATATATATATATATATAATTATACACATGATTGCATATACATTTAAAATACACAATGATATATTAATATACATGTCTGTGAATATTATCTTCTCTATTCATATAAACTATCAATATTAAATTGCATTTTTTTGCAAAGTCATCATCCATTTAAATGTTCTGATTTAATTTTTGTAAACGAATAAAGGATGAAGATTTTTTTTGAAAAGTTCCAACTACCTGTTTATTACTTTTTTGTCTGCAAAAACACCAAATCACTTTACTATTGAGACGAATAATGTTTAAAGCAACGTTTTCTCTTACTACCTTTTTTCATAATAGTTACCAAAACATTATTCAATGGGAAATATTTCTTTAATGTTTAAGGGTGTTGGGGCTAGAATAATGACGTTTATATTTGTAAATTAAGAATAGTTGTTATATCTATCCTATTTATGACGCATCCGAGATTTTACATTAAGAGACAGGTATAACTTATAAAAAAGAAATAAATTTATTATCTAAGAATTTTTTTACTGTTCTTAAAACATGTAAAACATTAAATAATTATTTTCATTTTATTTATTCGTACATTTTTAATTGACTAAACATATACAAATGTAAGTATTCAGAATATACAGGTAGCAATCTCAGTTACTGTATTATTTGAATTATAAATGAAACCGAATATAAATTAACAAAACAGACTAAAACAAAACAATACTTTGTCTCGCGAAAACAAATTCAAATATGAATGTTCCCTTCAAGAAATAAATGTCTGCTTACCTTTGAGCACAAGAGAATGTGAAATTTTAAATACTTGGTATTTTAATTTCATGGTAAGAAAATCCAGCTATCAAGTACGTTATTCTTTATTCTTTTTATGTATACCAAAATTTGTTATTATGCCAATATACATATATAATGTAAGTATACAGGTATACTTATATGAAGTATTTAAATTACGGAACAATCTTTTTTCTAAATTTTAAATTCAGGCTACAATATGCATTTTGATATTCGTTTTTATCACGATAAATAATAAATCGCATATCCGTATATGTACGTAACACATCTTACAGTAACCGTAATCAATAATGATAGTATATTTTTTTAATATAAAGGTGTTGAAATCTTATTACGTTTTCAAAAGTATTAAAATGAGTAGTATAAAAACTGAACGTAAGTACACACTCAGTATTTTAGGGGTAAACTTTACTTTAAAATGCAGTGTTTATACCAGAAATTGTCCTGAATATCCCTTGTCCTCAAAACCGATGTAACAGTTACAAAATTTTCATTCATTACTAGATTATTAAAGGTGGTGTATTCAAGTTAGATGATGAATGTACCGCCGCTTAATGTCAGGCATCCGAAGCGCTTTTATGTTTTAACTCAACTAGGAATGTTCCAACCCCAACATTTGAAATGACGCATTTATCAATACGTCTAAAATTCCTGTTTTAAAGCCTAATCATCGTGTATGACTCATGAATTAATTTAATCAGAGTAATACTACGGGTTTTGCTAGTCCTCATCATACTTGATAATAATTTGTTGATGTTGACCGGATTTCTTTTTCTGATCATCTCTTCTTGACATTTTGCGAAATGACTTTTTTGCTGTAAAATATTTCACCAAGTATCATTTAATATACAACAGAAACATCTAAAACTCAAAATTTAAAGATTAAAATAAGTAAATGTCGTTTGGTGTATTAAAAATTTTCAGAAACAATTTTTTAATATCAAGCGCAGATAAGTATATTGAATTTTTATAGGACAATTTGGGTTTTAGGATAATTGAAGAAAATAAGGCCAATGACCCCCTATTTGTATTTCATATTTCGGAAGTAGTTATGAAATGGAATTCTCCCATTGAATTTAATCCAATTATATCGTCTAATGTCTCTTTATTAAGGAATTTAGTATCCCGTATATAACCCATATAAAATAACTATGATTTCGCTCAAATTCAATGCATTTCATTTGATTACGGACTTTCCGTTTTGAATTTTCACAATCACACCTGTTTCTCATTTGTAAAGGTTTAAACGTTGGATTTGATGGGGATTAGAAAATGTTACACTGTGACAGCTACCTTACAGACAGTATTTCTTATTGTTTTTAGTTTACTAATGGTACCGTCAAGTGTATCTCGATATACGTAAAAAGCTTAAATTTACTTCGATATGCCTGTTTATCCATACTAAAACGAATATGCGTATATTTAAGAAGAAAAATAAACAATGAACGATGGATGTGTACTGATTGATAATTTGGTCTTCGATGCATGATATTTTTATTACTTGTTATTGGCTTTGGACTAGCTGTCAGTAACTGCGAGTACTCTCAGATTTGTACTTAGTGTCATTTTTGTTGTTGTTGGGATGTACAAGTATACGGCCACGTCCACTCTGTGTTTTTTGGTAATTTGTATTTCTATTTGTATCCATCTGATGAGTTAAGCCTTTTTCAACTGATTTGCATAGTTCGTTACTATGTTGTACCATTACACCTCTGTTTCAGTTTAGGGGAGGGTTGGGATCCCGCTAACATGTTTAATCCTGCCAAATTCTGTTTGTATGTGTCTGTCCCAAGTCCGGAGCCTGTAATTCAGATGTTGTAGTTTGTTGCTGTGTAACATATTTGTTTTTCGTTTTTTTTTTGTACATAAATTAGTCTGTTAGTTTTCTCGTTTAAATTGTTTTACAATTCGGGACCTTTTATAGCTGATAATGCGGTATGGGCTTTGCTCATTGTTGAAGGCCGTACGATGACCTATAGTTATTAATGTCTGTGTCATTTGGTCCCTTATGAAGAGTTGTCTGATTGGCAATCATACCACATCTTCTTTTTTTTAATACGATATACGACATACGACAGTAAACGTTGCCAATGTTATTATTACTATGAATATCAATAACATCTATAATTTTTGCTCTCCATAGGCTCTTCCATCTGAAGATGTACCATCGACTAAAGACCAAAAGGAAAGAAAACGTAATGGAGTTAACGCGTTGACTAACACATTTTCGGTAAATGGACGAAAACAGAGAAAAATGCAGGTAACATTTCGTTTTAAATAAAAACCATGCTGCAGAGCATTTTGACTATATTCTCTGACTTGATACATCAGTGCATTTTAATCGAATGCAAAAGGCTGACAAGCAGGTCCATAGTAGAGGAATGCCTTCTTAAAACATTAAACTTTTTGTAGTTCATTGTTAAATTTTGAATTTGTTGGTTTTTTCCTTTAGTTTTGATGAATTGATATAACACCGTATTCATTTGATACAAATATGTTATAATAACTATGTTTGCTTAATATGAACATATATGTACGTAAATCAACAAGAATTTCACTTTATTGTGATTTTTACCGTTCTGGTGGTATATTATTCATCCGATTACACAAACTAATACAAAACATGTATGACTAAAACGGTCACTCAGGATAAGAAAAAGGAGTTCTGTTGCAGTAAGCATTTCTTTCAATGTCTATTTAGAGGTGATATAGCGTACTAGTGGTCTTGTAAATGTCCAGGTGAATTTTCGTTATGACTAAATAAATAGAGAGGACAAGTTTCGGCCATCAACATTAACATTCAAGGATAGTGATGTTCAAATGATTCGTTTCAAACCATCTTTTTTTAAATAAATCAATGAACAAATTTCAAGGAACACTTCAATTGAGTCTGGATATAAAATAAAAAGATGTGATATGATTGCCAATGAGACAACTATCCATGTTTGATTTTGTCCATTTTGGAATATGCATGACTTTGTCTGTAATATTTCCTTGGCCGGTTTTTTGAATTATCATGTTCAATCAAATGTCTTCTATATGCTTATTGCAGGTATAACAGTATAATGTAATCTCTCTTTAATAAGTAATACATATAAAAAATGGAAAAACAATACTTTTACAGCACTGCCTCTGCGGAAATTCGGGTCTTATTAAAACACTTTACAAATATTATCTACACATTCACATATCACATGTGTAGTTAAAATCAGTGATTCTCGAATCAAAAGAGTTAAAAGGCCAAAACAATTAAAAAGTATAATAGCATACATATTATCATCCCTGACTTAAACATGTTAAATCTGTTTGTAATTGATGGACGCAAGTAAATTCAGTTTAGCTTACCTCATTTTTAATATTTTTTAATAATGTTTTATATACCATTGGCAATAAAACTGCAAAAAAAATCAATACCCTTAGAAATCTGAAAGTACTGTTTCATATAAATTATATTGAGGAACATATTAGCAAATGATGTATTTTTGGCATTAAGGGAACATTTAAGTAACATCTTTTCTCGGGAAGTATATTGCATACACAGAAGAATAAAACACTGTACAGCATATATGCTAAAGGTCAAAACCTCTAAGACACTGTAAACATCTAAAAAATTGAAAACAACACGTTTAATAATTTCATAATAAAAGATAGTGACATTGTACTGTATATACTTGTATCTGACAAACACATTGATTTCCGGGTTAAGGGCTTTCAATAAGACCATATAACTCTTGATTATCTGATTATTTAAACCTGTCACAGCCAAATTATGTCTACCGTCGCTTCCCAAATATATCCGATTATTTTTTTTTACTCTAACGTGTCAATTTTACCTTACAAAAACATGTTCGGCAATTTCTATCCACTGAAACTTGTCAATTCAAAGAGGACAGAACGTCTTCATACGTTTAGTGCTCATATGTTTAATCAGCGTATGTGTTAACTGTAAATATTTCTACATGTGGAGCAGGATCTGCTTACCCTTCCGGAGCACCTGAGATCACCCCCAGTTTTTGGTGGGGTTCGTGTTGCTTAGTCTTTAGTTTTCCATGTTGTGTCATCTGTACTATTATTTGTCTGTTTGTCTTTTTATTTTTGGCCATGGCGTTGTCAGTTTGTTTTCGATCTATGAGTTTGACTGTCCCTCTGGTATCTTTTGTCCCTCTTTTCTATTTAAAACAAATAATTGTCTGGGTCAGAATTTCACAACATTAAGGCGTATTACTCTTCATATATCATTTAAACTTTATAGATATCGCTTGGTGGCAATGGGAAATAACTCTATTTAAGAAATATTTTGGTTACTTTTGAGTGGGAAGTAAAGATTTTTAAGCTTTCTCAGCATTACATGATTAGGTGGTTGATAACAATTTTTGACTACGGAACGGAAGATACTTGTAAAAATAAAACAGTTTATTATGTTTAAGTTCGTACCTTAGAATTGTGTTTTGCCATTAAACACCGTCCTTCAGATTAGCCTCCTTTTACATGACACATTGAAAATCTATCCCGAATTTCCTACAAACAAGGTAGCTTTCTTTAAAATAGCTTTAACAGTCAAGTTCATGTTGTAAATGTGGGATTATTCTTTCGTTTTTTTTTTTTTCGTGCGTCCCTGTGTTACAGACGTTGTATAAAAATCCTATGCTTTCCATATGAAATGGATTTCTAGAGTTGCTTTACTCCATTGAATTTTGTTTTGTGTATACAATATGTTTTTTTAAGGTTGTCGCCGTTTTAAGACAGTTAATGTCGCGATTCAATTATGTGCTAAGTTATTGTTTTCATATGATAACTGTAACACACGGATAAACCAAGTTAATTCTATCCAAACTACAGACATTTAAAATTATTAATATCATTACCTTGAATGAAATGTTAAAAGGGTGTTGAGGCTTTGTCTGTAACCTACAAGAAATGTGTGTGTTAAAACAATACTTATATTTGTAAAGTACAAGCTGTGAATTGAAGAAATTTTAAATTTACACCTTCATTGTTCGATTAACTGCCAAAGATGAAATAATCAGCTCTCATTAAACTAATAGATCAAAGGGAATGTGGAATGTAAGTCAATGAAGAAGCGATGTCTTGAAGAAATATTAAAGATAGTATTTCAATTTGAATTATACGTTTTAATAGTGTATCAAAGTTGTATGATTAATTAAAAAATTAAAAACACAATAAATAGCCAATATTTGTAGTATTAACCGAGATATCTAAAACATGCAATTTGTAAGATCAAAAGAACCAAGATTTTTTTTATAACTTAAAAAACAATCCTGACACAGTATTCAAACTAGTAGGACACGGTTGTGACAAAAAGAACTAGTTTCCTTCAAAAAAATTTATACCGTACGCCTCACATTTATTGTTTTGAAACATAGTTCGACATATACTGTTAAAATTGAGCCCGAAAATAAAACATGCTACACCGAAGAACAAGAGGTCAGTTTCTCATTGACAATTGTTTTGTTGAATTTAGAAATATAATTTTCGAGTAGGTTATCTGCATTCTTATGGGAACCATCTGTGCACCTCTGCTTGCAGACATTTCCCTTATGTTCCTATTACATGTATGAGTCGGATGTCCTTCAGACAATTGCCAATAACAGGAAAATCAAAGAAGCTAGATTATCCTATTTAACAAAAGGTATATTGATGATGTTCTTTCGATTAACAATCCAAACTCATTTGTGGTCCCATTAATAAATCCTTTAAATATTAGCGAAACCACAGATACAGCTTCCTCTTCCTTGTTTCTAGACTTTTACCTCGGATTTGACAACTGCTGTCACCTCAGTACCAGAATCTATGAAAAAAGAGACGGATTTTGAAATTATCAATTTTCCTCACATTTACAGCTTCATACCAACATTACCCGCGAATGGCGTATACATTTTTTAATTCATACAACATTCAAGAGCTTGAAGTTGCAACTCAGACTTTCTAAATTGTTACATGTGTCTGAGCAAAAAATTAATGAGCCAGGGTTTAATCAAAGAATGTGATATTCATAATCATATTTATTGTAATTGTATACTGATGAAGATTATAAGTAAGCCGATATGGTTAAACAAAGCAATTACTAAAACAAAGAAGGTGGTACAGTTCCTGTGCTTCCATGTTACTGTGCTAGTAAAAACAAAAACTATGGATTTTTTTCACATCTTAAATGTATCATTATATAATACCTATTTATTCTAAATTTGTACATAATTTCAAACATAAATTAAAGTTTTATAGTTCTGTATCTTCTATTTTCAAGACCGGAAAGGAAAAGAACAGCAAGTATTTGCAAATATACAACCAATGGATAACACAGAAGGATCGTCATCTTATAAGAAGAAAACAAATCAGGGAAATGAAAAGGCAGAAACAAGAAATACAGAAAAACAGAAAAGAAGATAGTATTGGATTCATGCATACTGGTCGTATAAATGAAATTTACGATCCCTGCATCGTTCCTTACAACAGAAAATTTTCACGACGTGTTATTTTCATTGATAGAAATAAATCCATCGAAAAGCAAAACGATTATGAAAATGGACAATCATTTTGTCGCGCTTTTTCAAAATTAAGAAATAGTTCCCAAAACGAATATCCAATTAACTTAAACATCCCGGAAGCACGTGGTTATACATATGATACCCATAGTATTGATGATCCGATGGTTTGTGATTTGAATTTACGGTGTAATAGATTTGGAAGCACTTTAGTATGGACCTTGGCTGACCCCCGAATCACAATTGATTTAAATCTAAGGAACAATAGGCCGATCGAATCGCTGACTTTTTCAGAATCGATTTTATCATATGAAATTCCTACTTTTGGGCATACAAGAGTAATACCTTCAATAACACTTGGACAAACCAATCAGATATCAGCCTATACGCTTGGACAAACTCGACCACTTTGAGTACGTTGATGTAGTTCAGGCGAAAACAGTATGGATTTTTGAATTTAAATGAACTTTGTTTAGTGTACGAATAGTCAAAAAACGCTTTTGAAATTATTGATAGCCCTTCTTGAATTATTAGAACTAATAATAAAAATGTCAATTGTAGAATCTAACGCAAATTCCCGTTTAAATTAATTATATCTGTATGATGATTAGATACACTTATCTTCATCATGCTTACGAGTTATGATATTTACAATGATCCTCCTTGAAAAGAAATTGTATTTTTAACTCAGCATTTGTTTGTAATTAGCTGGAAATGCCTTACATGGTGTTGTTTAGACTAGGCAATAAAAAGATACCAACAATAAAGATATTATCAATGATTAATGTAAATTTTTTTAATTGTTCTGTAATCGATCATAATTGGAACAATCTGTGATTGTCATAGCTGAGACATTGTCCAGCCTTACCAAATGCAAATGAGGGAATCGTTTTAAATGTACCAAAACCTTTTTATTGTATGATAGTCATGTCATATCTAACTAGGTGTATACCATATACCATATATAATTCAATACTTTTGATTTGGCGTTGCTGTTACTTTGCTGTTATTTCGAAGAACCAGTAAAAAGGAACGCTGCTATTGATTCAGCAGAACAAATCCTTCATTTTCCTTAAATACAAAATTATTGTATTCTTCTGCATCAACAGTTTCGTTAGCCTTATTTTGATATTATAATGACATTTTCGAAGTGATGACTTCAACTCCCTTAGGCAATGTTGACCTTAAATGGTTTTGATGAAACATTAAACCATTGAGGAACATATAATGGTATATCCAGAAAATTGTCGTCCGTTCATGAACTTACAAAATATTAAGAAACTTAGGTTTCAACTCCCTCAGGCAAAGTTGACTTTAAATGAATTTAGCTATCATTTTATATCCCTTTTTGGTCATATAGCTTTTCCATTGTTTCGGTTCTATTACAATCTGAGCATTCAATTATCAGGCTTTGGGCGTCCCTAAAGAAGGTAAATCTATAAAAGCGCTTCGAACGCAACGAATTTATAAAGTGTTGTTTTCATTTTTTACAGCACTGTGTCGATACCTTCTGTTAGTGGACTATCCGTCCCCGACAGTATCACCACATCAGTAGTCAGTACTTCTGTACTGGCATGATTTATAACAAACCTTTCTTAAAACTGTCTGTTTATGAATTTAGAAATGATAGAGAAACTGAGGTTTCTACTACTTGAGGCATATAGCTCTTTAACTGTTTTGCTTCTTTGATATCCTTGGCAGATATCGTATCTGAAGAAGGTAAGTCCAGAAAAGCGCTTCGAACGCTTAAAATTTATTCATTTTTGTTGGTCTCCTGCAAATTCATTTTGTACAAGTGTATATTAAAAACAAATATCAAGGAGGTAAATGCTCAATGATGCTATGACAAAATCATTCTCAAAAGTGGAGGTTTTTAGAGCGCAATGTGAATCAAACTATCCAAGGAGTGGATGACAAATGCCTGAATGATATTTTGCAAGGGAGTATTACTCTTGCATCCGTCTTTTTCTCTTTTCCACAGTTACCTCAAAAATCATACAAGACTGACGTAATTCGGTATACATCACAAAACGTCACGGATATCAGAAAATGCATATTTTCAAAATGCACATTTTTACACGCTGGTAATACCTTTACTAAACTGTTAACGTGTCAGGTCATCGGTCCAAGTCTAGGCATTTAAAGTCAATTTGAAAGTAGCCCAAAGACTGGATACAGATATAAAATTCTTACAGCTGATTATCCAACAAAATTCATCAATTTGAACAAGACTGGGATTAAAATTTTTCATAAAGTTATCAAGGATTCACAGTTGATGGTCACATATTGTTTTCGGGTCATCAGAAAGGTGATCACAGGCAGGTCAAAGGTCAATTAATTACAAACAACATGAACTCTAGACGAACTATTTTTATGACCTACAACTTGCTGTTGATTCGCAGAACCAATAAAAATGAACGCTGCTATTGATTCAACAGAACAAATCCTTTATTTTACTTAAATACAAAATTGATCGGACGGACACTGACTATTGGACAAGAATAGATTATTCACTAGGATTGATTTACCAGCTTAGTTAAAATATTGTGATAACAGGAGATTTGAACTCTGATTTATTTTCAATTCATAATAATAAATTATATGATACAATGAATCTTTACACTAGAAAATGTAATATATAAACCGACAAGGATGACTGGACGCAGAAGCACATTGCTAGACCCGATAATAATCAGCGACACCATTAAATATTCTATTGCCGACGTACTTAAATTACCGTCTGAAATAAGTGATCACGATGCTTCTTTAATATTTTTAGAATGTCCGAGATTTGTATCCAAATTATTCAAAAGAGAAATTTGGTTGTCCGATAAAGCAGATTTAAAAATATTTTCTTTAGGACTTTATTCTGTTAGTTGGAATGAACTTTTTCTGATGTTGAGGATGTTGACGAGATGTGCAATACATTTACTCAAAAACTCCTTGACATCACAAGGCAGAGCATCCCAACTCGACATGTTTATATACGAAACAATGACAGACCATGGTTTGACAACGTTAACGAGCTCGTAGAAGAGACCGATTTCGTAAAATAGCCTTAAAAACTAAAAAAAATCTGATATTAATAAATACAAAAAAACAGAGGAATAAAGTAAATAATTTGAAAAAAGCTGCAAAAGAAAAATTAAAAAAAACTTGGATAATATCATCTTAAATAACTTGGCTAAACCCAACACTTATTGGAAGAAAATGAAAATGCTCATAAAATCCAATAAAGGTTTTGGTGATTTACCTCCACTTAATATTATTATACACGATGAAAGCATAGATGATATAGTGATCGGAGACGACGAGAAATGTAATCTCTTGAATAAATATTCTGGTCTGATTTCTTCCCTAGAGGAGGAAGGTGTTCCAATCCCTGAATGGAACAATATTGTTTTAAATGATTTAGTAATTGAAAAAAATGAAATAGTTGATACAATAAAAATTTAGACCCTAATAAGGCATCTTGTCCAGATGTCATAAATCATAAAATGCTGAAAATGTGTCCTAAAAAAATAGCAATTCCTTTAACAATAATATTTAATAAATCCTTACAACAATGTAAATTTCCCACCAGCTGGAAGACTGCAAATGTAATTGCTTTTTTTCATAAAAGAAAATAGTTCGTTATCATCTAAATATAGGCTAATATCGCTTTTAAGTTGTGTAGGGAAAATAATGGAGCGAGTTGTTTATAAACATGTCTTCAATCATCTACATAAAAATAAATTAATATATGAATACCAGTCTGGTTTTCTTCCAAAATGTTCAACAGTTCACCAGCTTTTAGAAATTTACAACTGTATTTGAAAATCACTAGAAAATAACGAAATTAGCTGTGTTGTTTTTTTTTACTTTTCTAAAGCTTTAGATAAAGTTTGGCATCAAGAATTGTTACATAAAATGAAGTCATACGGTGTGGACGGGGATTAATTGAATTCGTTTAAAAGTTACCTGAACAACAGACAACAGCGAGTTGTTATTAAAAACAGTTTTTCAGCTGGTGTCCCATAGGGTTTTGTTTTGGGACCGATTTTATTCATTATTTATTAAAGATATTACTGAAAATTTGATCTCTTTATGTAGATTATTTGCAGATGACACATCTCTCAGCTACTCTAGTCGTGACACGGCACAAATAAAATCAGTGATCAGTCACGACATGAGTGAGCTGAGCGATTGGTCTAAGGAATGACTGATGTCCTTTAACCCAGAAAAAAACAGAAATTATATGTCGTTTTCATTCATACATTGAAACTCAGGAAATGAATTTCATATTCAATGGTAAGAATATTTGAGTTACAGATTTTCATAAACACTTGGGTGTTTCATTTAGTAGAGATGATAAATGGAACACCCATGTGGAAAGTATCATAAAAAATGTACTTAGCAAATAAAAGTACAGATTAAGAAGGAATAACTTAGAAAAGCTATACTTGACTTTTATAAGACCGTTACTCGAATATGCCTGTGAAGTTTGGGATAATATGGGTGTGGGTTATTGTGACAAATTAGAGCAGAGGCAGCTTGAGGCAGCCAGAATTGTAACGGGTCTTCCTATTTTTACTAGTAGTAGAATTATTTATGATGAGATTGGTTGGGAAACACTTGTTGAACGAAGAGAAAGGAGGCAGTTACAATTATTTTATAATAATCAACATAATAATGAACCAGCCTAACTTATGAATTTAATTCCACCAACAATCCAAAGTACAGCTGTTTACCCGTTACGTAATGGGAATAATATAATATACCCTTTTTGACTTTCATTGACCCATAGAATCCTTCATACCTTCATCTATACGACTGTGGAATAACCTTAATGTGGTGACCCGCAACATTGACTCTTCCTTTAGGTAAACTCAACTATATTTTGACTCAACTTAGAAGCTCAGCCTCTTTTTTTAATTATGATCTTAACAGAGTCAATATCATTTCAGATTCGTCTTGCAGCTCTGCGAATATAAAAATCAAACTATCTAATAATCTGAACTGGTTACCAGAGAACTCTCCACTAAATTTGAACATCTTAACCTCCGGTGATTCGTCAATAACTTATGATAAAAATGAAAGAATTTTAAAGAATGCATATGAATTTATTAAAGAGTCAAAGAGGTTTCTAATTGTATAATATAGCACACTAAAGTACATATACATGTATATTGTGTACAACCATTCACATCATCGCACATCATCTTTTTACATATCCAATATATATAATGTATTGTTTGCATGCATGCTTTGTAAATATTCTATTGTTATAAATTGTTCATGGGAGAAGACTTTATAAGTTTGATTAACTTGTGTCTCATCCCTTTTGCATATTTAGGCAATTAAAATATATTTAAACTAAACCAATTTGACAGCATTTCGTTTGCCATTGCAATAAGTCTCACAGCGCACTTCTTTTCTTTTACAGTCTTTTCTACATGGTTTGTCGAGGAATCCTTCACAGTTACTTTCGCATTCCATGCGAGATTCCTCACACACATCGAGACAATAATGGCCATATCCCAAAATGACTGAGAACATCATATCTGCCAGAATTAACATACAAAATCCCGTCGCCTAGAATTGAAATGATTGTATTATAGTAGTTATGGCTATTTACTATGATTTTCCGTGTAGGAATACTTATATGCAAGAGAGTTATTGGGTGGTTTAATACTGGTAATGAAAAGCTAGCGGTATTTTATGGATTACTTAATAATATGGACTTGACTCATTGCTGAAGGTCGTATGTCTTAATGTCGTTTGGTCGATTGTTGTTTAATT